CCTGTAGGTATGATCCTCAGGAAGTCCGGCATCTGCTATTGGTCCAATAATTACGTTTTGGACAGAAAAGACACAGGCTCGACCAGAGTTCATGGCAAAGGACAGGATATTATGACAAAGGTTCAAACAAGGCCAGCATGGGATTTCCACAATGAATGTGAAAGAATGGACGTTCTACGGGTCGGAGAAGTTTGTAATTGTAAAACAGGTTTCGACTGTTGGTTGCAAAAAAGCAAAAACGGGAATTTAGACTTTGGGGAAAAAGTCAATGAATCCACAACTACAAGTTCAACCTCAGCACTTTGCTGGTTGAAGTGAAGTTAAATTAAATAACAAATGAACAAAAATGGTTTTAGTATCCAGCTTCATATTAATAACATGGATCCTTTTAAGCGAACATATCTCTAAATGATAAAGTAATCTGACTTTGACACTGCAGTCACATAAAGCCACCCCAGTTGTGTAGCTTGTGGGGAAAGGCCCTCAGATAAAGTGGAACAAGGAAAATGTCTGTGTGAGCGCTGGGTGTCTGTCAAAGCAGGAACTGGGAGGCGTTCTCCATTGACCTCTGAGGGCAAGGACTTCCCAAAGCCCCTCTGCAAAACAACAGCAGACCCTGCAGCTGACGGTGGGACACAGGCGGCCACTGCTCTGTCTGCCCGCCTTGGACGCTCACTAACACCCCCCCCCCCCCCCCCCGACCTCTCTTCCTCTTTGTATACCATCCACAAGGGCAACACATTAAGATGGTGGCAGTGGGGGAAAAAGCAGCAGCTATCACCTTGCCGATATGATCTGTCTGGAATGTGGCAATGCTTTACTGTATGTGAACAGACACGTTTGTGATGTCAGATACAACAACGGGTAGATGGGAGGGTTTAGCCAACAGCAGTTTGATCTCAACCTGAGATCGGGGATTAAATTGGTAAATTAATGATACGTCACATGTATGATTCTTTTTTTTTCATGCAAAGTAGGATACGTGTTTGATTAATCAAAATGACGTATGATGATGCATGTGTCAACAACGGTGCTACAAAGAGACGTACCTGGCTCGGAAAAACTGGCCAAGGAAGTATAGTGTTTCTTTGTTTTGTACAGGTCGGGGTGGAAAGTCTATGGTCAACAAATGCATTGTGATATGTGATAAGTGGTTTCCTAAATAGCAGCTGCAAATAAAAGATTGCTGGCGGGGATTGAATCACACATGATGAAGCAGATTTTCTGACCACTGTCTGATGAGTAAAAGAACCTGATGTGTGCAAGAGGTTCTTGGGAAGAGCTGGGTTAGTCAGTTGTTTTCATGTTCCTTTCTGCTTATTCTGGACATTGTTCAACAAAAGCAAACAGGCCACTCCCACATATCCTTAAACCCCTGCCCACCTCTGGAGCCTCGATCGGCCCCCCGAGAAGAGATAAAGCCAACCGAGTGAGTCACTTAGAAGCTCTGAGACATTATGAGCGTAGCAGTTTTCCTTGTGGGGATGCAGCGTGTGTGAAAAGTGACTACACACATGCCTGCAGTGCTGCTGTCACATGTCAAAGGGGGGGGGGGGGGGGGGGAACGACACAAAAAGTTTATGCTCATCATGTGTTTGGGCAGCAAGAAGCTGTTGTAGAAAGAGTGAGTCACAGCGGAGAGGTAATAGCTTTTTGTAAACAATTAAGAAAACATTTAACCAGGACTAGTTGTGCTTGTTATTGTGGAGACATGTCGTCTCCTGTCTTAACTACCGGTTGAATCCAGGCTTTAACTGCCATCAGTGTTCTGCTCCCTGATTTTGCATATGATTTGCATGCCAGAGTTGTGGTGGAAGTACCAGTTTTTTCCCGTCCCCCCTGGATTAAACACTGCATGTAACATTTAAAGAGCTGTGAGACAGAAAACATCTGGGAAAGGTCAGAGGACAGTTTTCTTTCTAAAACAATAACCAATCATTTCAACATGGAGTACTGATTAACAAACACAGGCCTCATCTGGCTTAGACCACGTCATCATGGTAGAAAGGGTGGAATATTGACAGGGTATGTTGTTCTAGTGTTGTTAAGGATTAAAACAAACTTCCTATACTGCAAAAAAAAAAGTTTGAAACTTTGACATATTAGTAAAAGTCAAACAGTAATGACACCTGCTCCGATACCACAGCAACAAAAATGGAAGTAGTAGGCTCCCAATATTGGGAACTTTGTTTACAATCATCAGAAATTGCAAGCAAACAAAATACTACAAACTGTCTATGTTGCCACAAATATGTTGCCAATTATTTGTGCAATTTAGACAATTTGTAGGAGATTGATTGCAATTTTTGATGGATTAATTCCTCTGCAACGCATCCATCAAATTAAGAGGATGTAGCCTATTTTTGAAAGTTATGGCACTTTTTGATACGAATGAACACGACAATAAGAGCTGTTGCATCGTTTTAATATCGTATAAAGTAATCGAAGTGTCAAAAACAACAACAATAGTGACAATCAGTTGCAAATGATCGCTGAAAAGATACGCCGCAGTAAAAAACTATTGCAGCATTGAACACGTCATTTAAAGATATGAACAAATACATTCCATCAACGCCTCCTCAACTCATTCCAATATAATGACCGATCACACTTGCAAACCACGTTTGAGAGACACAACACACCTTCAGGCTGGAATGTTATTGAGCGTATGTGAAAGTAGTATCTGAAAATATCCCTCTGCATCAGGACATCAACTATGTCAGATGACAGCAATACTGGGGAGTAAATGGCCCCGATTGTCCATAGCCCGGCTTTAAGTGGAAGGAATTTCAGATGGACAGATTATCGCATTAACAAGTCTGCCTGTTCTGGACACTGCGTCTCATGACACTGTTTTCTGGCTGAAAGTGTGTGTGGAGCGCTTGTTTACAGGTTATTGCTCAGGGTGAGAAGCAGGGTGAGAAGGGCAGAGAGGCTGCTCCCTGCTCTGCTGCCTGATGGAGGCCATTATGTCAGCTCCATTATGCCCTGTGAGGGTGTTTTTTTTTCTCTCTCTCTTGTTGTTTATACAGTACTGCTATGAACCAAGCTAGTTTTTTCCTCTGTACCATTGCAGCTGCTGCTCCATACTGACCACGGTGGTCTCTGTGTAAACATTAGCTAGCTTTAAGTGGAAGACAATGAGGAAACGACAGGACAAAGGGGGGGGGTGCATTTGAAGACATTCAAGGATGGATTTCGAGATGAAACAGGGGGGGGGATGACATCATGGCAAAGTCAGCTAGTAGGAACATGGAGAGGCCTAGTAATGCAACACCATACATAAACAGTGGACAGCTGTATTTATAGGAGATTGTCTCATGGTTCTATCTGCCTCTCCATAAATCCTATTATCTGATTTACAGACAGTCCCCTGCCCCGGCACCCAACACGAGATGAGCAGCTTTGGCTTAGAGAACCTTATCAAGACTCTCAAAATGTTGTGGAGACACATCACTAGCTGCTGTGACAGGAGTTGAAAACTGCTCTAATCAATATAGACATTACCTCATCATGGGGAGATAAAACAATATGGCAGTTTGTGTTTGAGTCTGTGGGCTATTTGGTCAAAGTAGTAGACAGCTGTTGGGTAGTACAAAGGCTTACCCCCATGTTGTCATAGGACCCCCCTGAGAGGGTGGCCTACTGTGTAAAACATGGTAACTGCAAATGATATAGAAAACGTGTATTTGTACACTGATGGTTTGAGACTGTATTTCCATGTGGGTGCCTCATCTGTGGCTTAGAAGGAGAGGTCCAGATGGTAGTGGGTGCACCTGCTACAATGGGACTTTAAATATCTGAGTTTGACTCCATTTATCTCAAGAGGCAAATGAGCAAAACAAAGCGCCTCAGTTTGACACAGACAGTTCAGCAACATAACCTCAGCAACTTGTACAACAGTCAAACTATCAACTTGGAAAAAAAAAAAAAAAAAACTTATCGAAAGTGTGATTCACTTACATATCTCCTCAGTTTTTTCTCCGGCGGTGACTTTCTCAACCAGCCTTGGAAGAGGATTTCTCCGCCGCTCATGTTTGTCACTGTGTTACAGTTTCTTCTCTGCTCTACAAACTGCCGTCTGTCACTAGAACATGACGGCTCCTGAAGCCTTGCCTGTTCAAAGTGCTGTCGGCGTTTGGCTCTCCCTGGTGCAGTCTGCTCCCCCCATTTGATTAAAAAAAAAAAAAAAATCAAAGTAGTGCTGGTCGGAGGTGTTGCCAGTGGCTCCTGGTGGTACTATGCGCAACAACCCGGCGCGCAATCCAACAGTTTGACTAAAAGAGGCGCAACTCCACTTCTGGGTAATTTACGCACGGTGAGCTGACGAGGAGCCGCGGGGAAACTCAACTGATGCAGGGTGAGGAAGTACCGTAGGGTGTCTGCAGTTTGTTTTCCCAACTCACACCACGCCCACCGAGCAAAGAGAGGGATGGGCTGAGCTGGGATGAACAGGATGGGAAAACTGCCCGTCGTAAAGTGGCTCCGAGATCCCAAAACGACAACAAACGACGAAAGACTCGGTCAAATTTTAAACCAATAGTCTATTTAAGTAAAACAAGTTGGACTGTCTTAATCCACAGACGGAAACGCGTCAGATTATTCGTATAGAAAGTACATGTAGGATATTCTTTCCATGGTACATCAACAAAATAAAAAGTAACAGCTAACAAATACGTTTCCAAGATTTTCTGTTGTCTGAAAGAAGACTTGACATACTTATTTACTACTGTTATTGAGTCAAATGTTTTCATTTTGTTTCTGGGGGGAAAGCGCCACCTTGTGGACAGTAAGTACGTTGTGTGTGGTAGAAATAAACAGGCTAAATGGAATTCATTTGTACAATATGATTGTTCCAAAGTCATGAACCTCAGATCAGGCTTCTTCATTTTCATGCCATTTGCTCAAACACTAATGATTGTGCATTTCTATGTGACTTTTATAGTGCAGTGACAATAAAAAAGGATGACATTTAACACAAGAAACTGATACAAAATGAGTACAACTTTAAGTTAAATGTTTATTTAATGTTTCTCTAGCAGGAACAACAAACCTTATACACTTAAAAAATGTCTATAAGGCTTGAAATGAGTTTCAAAGAAGACAAGAATGAGAGAATCTGGGGAAAGGAATCACATCTTTGATGTTTTCAACACCAAGAATGCACTGCAAGTATCGCTCAAATCCAAGTCCAAAACCTCCATGAGGGACGGAGCCGAAACGCCTTAAATCCAGATACCTGTGAATGTAGAAAAGTCATTAATGCTCTGTTTGTTTGGTGTGACTTTTCAGATGTTTAGAATATAAATGTTTTATGTTTTTTTTTACCAGCTGTAGGTTTCTTCTAATCCAGCCCTGGAAAAGTATCAGAATTTATGTAAGAGCCTTTTATTGGAAACATAAACTTCAGATAACAACTATCCTCTCTCTTCAAAGATTTTATATGTAATAAATCCATTCACAAGAGCAAAACTGTCAGTCAGATCGAATGTATTAGCAGAAGCCTTCTGATAGCCCTGGACTATGTGTTCTTACTCCTCTAGCCGAGCCCTCAGCAGATCCAGCCTCTCCTCTCTCAGCGAGCCCCCACAGAGCTCTCCAACTCCTGGCACAAGAAGGTCCACTGCAGCTGCCTGCACACAAACGACAGCCGGAGTCAGCGCGGATATGCAAATTGCTGCGATAACCCAACTGACATTACAAGGAAGGAACTGAGTGGTTAAATCATTGATGCACTGTGCATTTTTTAACGGTGAAACGACAATCGTACTGTATGCTCAGGATGGTCCTGGTTGTCTCTTGCATAAAAAGGCTTTAGATCATAAGGATAATCAGTGACAAAGACTGGAATGTTGCCACAATGTTTCACCAGGTACTTCTCATGTTCGGTCTGAAGGTCACAGCCCCACTGTAGGAAAGAAGAGCAGAGTCAATGGAGCTCTGTGTCTTGATAGAGTTGGTAGCGAACAAACAGAAGAGGTAGATATCAAATCTGCACGATCAAAGAGGCAATAAAACTGGAGCCACTTACATTTGTTGGGAAGGCAAATTTCTCAGAGCTGCGGTTCAGGATGTCAATAGCCTCAGTGTAGCTAATCCTGAAAGTAGAATGAGATAGCATCATTTATATGACGTCTGTATTCTTTCTCTTATTCAATTTAAATGCCATGTTTGGAACAAATAGACTCACATAGGAAATCTCTTCTTCATCATAGAATCGACAGTTTCCTTCAGAGTGTGTGGGTGCAAAAGGAAAATATGTAAATAGGGATTAAAATGAACTAAGCTGCCGTGTAGCCGACTGTTATAATGAGCCAGGTTATGCACCAAGGTTAAATAAGTGTCCATCAGGGACTCACCCTGTGTCCAGGAGTCACATGCTTGTGAAACAAATCCACATCCTCTGGACAGTGAGCTAAGACATGCTCTGTGGCCGACCGGAACACGTCCTCCACGACCTAAGAGTCGGGCCCAGTTTAATTATTAAAGCTGGCAACTGTGCACAAGGGCAACTTGAAAAAGGGGAACACAGGGTTAGTGTAATACGTGAACTTCATAACACAGGATGTGATTTCATGTGATGTGACATTGGTACTCTTATCCGAGAAGCTTGTGTTAAAAGTAATAAAAGCTCTCTGTCGAAGGTTATCAAACTAAATGTCATGCTATGCAGGCAGCCCCTCCTTCTCTGGACAAAATGATCCAACACAGCCACAGTATGTGAAGCGGCGTGGAGGGAACAAAGATAATACAATAAAAAACATAACACTAGACCATTTGCTTTCCAAACGCTTAGAAATCAATCAGCAGTTTGCCCAGGAAGGAATAAAGCACGTACCACACTACAGCAGTTTACCCGATTTTGCTACTTTGATTCATTTCCCGAGAGCAATATTGTATTTAAGGAAAATGACATGATGTACCTTGGTGAGATCCTCTAAGGACTCTGTGAAGGAGACCTCGGCCTCCACCATGTAAAACTCAGCCAGGTGACGTCTGCTTTGGGAGTTCTCTGCCCGGAAAGTTGGCCCAAATGTGAAGACTTTAGATAAAGCCCTGGGAGAGGATGAGTGACATGCATAATTAAAAACGTACCTCAGAGTATTTCAGTGTTCCTCTCCGAGCCAGAACACACACAGAGGAGAGGAAAAAAAAAAAGATGATCACTGAAACATAACGTATCGTTTCTCTCACCCTGACATCACTTCCAAATGAAGCTGACCAGAGACGGTCAGGAAGGCTGGGACGGAGAAAAAGTTCTCATCTTCGTTACTCTCTGGGCTTGACGGCTGTGGTTAACATCAAAAAACATTTCTAAGCATCAAGCAGTCTACTGGTGCATTTACTAAAAGCTTAAACACAGTCATGTTTATAGCACAGCACCTTAACTTTTACAACCAATCTGGAGATAATCACCTCAACCTGAAAGAGCTCCCCCGCTCCCTCGCAGTCATTCGAGGTGATGACAGGTGTGTGAATCTGCACAAAGCCATTTTTCTGAGGAGAAAAAAACAACAGAGATAAAATAATTAACACAAAAAGCCTTTCTGAGTTCAGTGTTGAAAAAGTCTCCTGCTGGTGTTTTCACCTTGAAATATGATTGGATGGCTGTAGTGGCCTCACTTCGTACTCTCAGCAGGGAGCTGAAGGCATTCGTCCTACACCTGAGATGAGGAAACTGACGAAGGTACTCGAGGCTGTGTCGCTCTTTGATTTTAAAGGGAAAGTCCTGGAAACAAAAAAAGACGACCTTAGATTACAAAAAAAATCTATGACAGAGCTGAAGTATGATATAAGCTGTGTGTTGGGATGTTTCCAGAGAGTGTTGTCCTTACCACGGGGTCACACTCTCCGACTACTTGGATTTGGTGAGCTTCAAGTTCAACAGGCTGTTTCTGGTGTGGACTTCTCTTAAGAGTTCCTGTGACTTCAACAGCACAGCCAAACGTGAGCGACCTTCATTTGAGACAAAAGAAAAGAAGTTTAAGACATTCAGATTGTTTATGTTTTTTTTATTTTTTTATTTGCAGCCTTAAAGTGAAAGGTGAAGGATTATCTACAGAGAATAAATGTGAGGTGTTTACGGGTTATTCAGCTCTGAACTGGCGACAATCTGCAAAGGCTGCAGAGAGCTGCCGTCATTCACATGGAGGAAGAGATGTGTCTTCTGAGGTCTTACAGAGCGAACCCATCCCTACAGAAGAGAAGCAAATCAAATGACTGCAAATCTCCTTTAATGTCAAGTTTAAAAAAAAAACAGACAAAGACGATATACCTCAGAAGAAATAAAAACATTACACAGCTATATTTCACATCAAGGTGTAAGAAATGTAATCAAACATTGTCACAGCTTAGGGTGCAGAAATTGTGGTCCGGTAGATTATCACTGATAGCAGTTCTAAGACGACCATTTATTAAACGAATTCCCATGTAAAGTAAATACATAATATCACCTCATTATTAAACATTTTTCATTTGAATCTAAGAATAGCTCAACAACAGCTGCTATACGTATCAGTCCGTCTCATTTTATTATCATTATAGTAATCTGAATATTTAACTGATCAATCTATTATGATACTTTAACCAATATCACTGGTGCTGTAGCCCTAAATGTATTATTTTAATTTATGTTGTTGTCTTTCTTCCTGTCTCGCTCCCTCTATCCCTCTTTCAAGCCAATCACAGTTTCAGCACGAGTCTGGTTCTGCTGTTTTTTTTTCTTTATTAAATTCTTAAAATAAACAAAACAAAAAGGGTAGCCCCCTCTAAGGTCTGAAACCTGGTTGATGAAATGCCTGTTTTCAAACTTTAACTATAGACTGACTGTTTTCAATCTCAAACTAAACTATATGAAATCCCTGTTTTGAAAACTAACTTATTACTTAACTAAATAAAAACCAACAAGTCCATTAGGTGAGGTCAAATCAGTTGCTTTACCTAAATGTTGTCTTGTTTGTCATCATGTTTTTTTTTTGTTTTGTTTTTGTTCTTGTGAAGCCACATTGTGCACAAATACAGTTATTGTCTATTATATTCTAGTCTTGACGTTCTGCCTGTTAAAATGCAGTTTATTCCTTTCCACTGTTGCTTTGCTGAATTGTGGTGGATTCAAGCTGACTCTCTGTGAATAAAATAACAAACAGGTGAGGTCTTCTTGGGAAAACACTTGTTGTGAATTGTACCATTCAAACAGATGGATTGAAGCTGGCCTACAGAACATGCACAATGACGTCATAACCTAATTGTACGTGAGGTGTTGGGAAAAGTAAAGCAAAAGGTTTAAAGTAAAGCAGATGATGTACATATATAGTTCCTCAAACATAACACTATGTTTTGAACCGGAGAGGTTAAATTACCTGTACTTTGATATTTGTATCCAGTCCAGCGCCTGAAACAGCCTCGGACACTCTTAATGTTGTCGGTGTCTTCTTACAGTAATGTCGAATAGTTGACAGTATCTCCCGAGAAGTGGTTGATGCAACCCAAAACGTTTTAGCTGCAGCCTGAAACATCCTGCAAACAGCTGCTTAGTGAGACACACACACTTCTAGAGGAACAACATGTGACGAAGACGTGGAGAGATAAAAAACATCATTTTTGAGGATAAATCACGTTCGCATTCGGCTTGACTTTCACGTTGTGTCTTATTTTTTGTATGACATTTACACTTCCTGTTTGGGTCCCTCGCCATTCGTGAAACTCAGTCACGTGGTTTACGACGAGCCAATCAAATGTCAGTGGCTTCAAAGCGGTCGTCGTATCGCTCAGGGGAGATGTAGTTTTCATAACCAGCCTGTCTACCATCATTTTATGCAATTCATTCTCCACAGTTTCTAAAGTTGTGATAAAAAAGCAACACATTAAAAGCTTAAACAGAAAGCCAACATCCAAGGACACAATTTTTTATTTTATTTCTTAACACTGGAGCACATCCCGTGTGGAGAGAGTCAATAGTGTAATGAAGCAAGCAGGACAGCTATCACAACCAAATATAAATCCTCTTTAATCTTGCATGATGCATCTTCTGTCAGTGTGGGGTCCATTTGTGCGTAAAACTCGCTAATCCAATACCCACAATGACTCTGGGTCTATTCCCACCATTTGCTGCTGGAGTAAATCAGATCATGCCAGCAGTGTAATAAGATGCCACAGACAATTATTCACCTGGTCTCGCCTGTCAGCTCTGGAGCCCCTGGTCTGGCTCTGCCAGCAGACACAGAGCTGGGTGTCTCCACCTCAGGCTGTTTATGACACATCATCATTAAACTCAACATGATGCATTTGAAAAGTCAGCAGGGTCATTGATATTAATTATCTCCTGCATGGATGGGACAATTACGCACATGGTCTCCTCTTAATGAGGAGCAGAACAATTCTATTTTCTGAATCATTGACAAAGAATGCAAAATGTAACCGGATAATTGTTAAGGTCATGCAAATCTGTATAATGTGTCTGTGCTGTTATAGTTAAGCTGAAACATGGTGACCATCAGCCATATTGAAGTTAGCACCAAGAGAGGCTGTCTTTACTTTACTGCAAGGAAATTACAGAGATCTGACAGCTAAAACAAATAAATACACACAAAGAATAACCGCTTTAACATTAAGTATCCAAAATAAATCATATTCTGAATGAGAGTTATATACCGCTGAAACTGCATCCCCTCTCCTCCTAAAGTGCAATATCTTACTCTGCCACAGGGTAGTGCTGTGGCTCCATGACACTTTCTACTCCTCCTTCCAAATCCCCCTAATGTAGATTTATTCATTTACCCCTGAGATGCCTCCTATATTATTCATTTGCAGATCCAAGGTCCACAGAAATGGAAACAAGCTAGCACTGTTATGTTCACTCTGCAGTTCTATCAAAATATAATGCAAAGAACCTGCTGGCTTTCATCGGCAGCTGATGATCCAGAGCAACAGTGAATTAAGGTTGCATCCAGGAACTGCTTTCTCGTATCAATCGGAACAGCATGCACGGTGCAGGTTCTCCCAGTGTTTAGCTACACCTTGATTCGTAATTTCCCCTTTTTTGGAGGTATGACACATGACAGCAGTGACAACTTGCACGTGGGAGTGATGCTTCATGGCGGATATATTTGTACTGCCAAAGACACACATCCTCCCACACGAACCACACGGCAAAGTACGCATGAAACAGTATGCTCTCCTATCTGAAGAAAAGTGGTGCACATCTAAGAAAAAAACACCTCAGAATGCTAACCTGTTTACACTGCACATAATAATAAAATAAATCCAGGGGAGAAGTCGAATGAATGCTACTCCTAAAGGGAGATACATAGCTGTGTGCTGCTGGAGCCTCTGCAGGTAGACAAGTTGTTTGGCAGTGGCCTGACAACCTTATTTGGGCTTAACAACTTGTGAAAATCAATACATGATTAGTCAGCAAAACAAAGGATTTTGCTGTAAAAGCTTGGCTCTCAGAGGATCACTGAACTTGGAGGGCAGGTGCATCATGTGCTCTCAGGCCTGCCTGTCCGCTGACTACAGAACCATATCGACAGCAGCTCCTGCCCCTTCCACCAGGCTTCATCAGCTCTACCAAATTTTCTGCATTCTCAAATAGAGGGGGGCATTGATTTTATGTAACATGGCTCGTTAAGTGCTGATTAGACCATTATAGTGATGTGATTTCAGGGAATGGGTTTGGGTGACAGGCGGCCAAACACAAATCAAAAGAAACTAACAACCCTTACAGAAAAGAGATTTGGGCTGCTGCACGGCTTCACCTCCAACTCTCCAGTTACCTCCAGAATACTGAGTTTGTGTTGGTTTATATCTAATGGACCACTTTCACAAGTCTGCGGTGAAGAGAAAACATTCATTTAATACTCAAGACGGTCACTGTTTGAAAACCATGATGTTTTACTATAACAGAGCAATGACTTTCATACCTGTGTTTTTTTTTCATGAGTATTTACATACTGTTGCTGCAATGATCTTATCATTTAATCAGTCAATCAAAAGAAAACAGGTTGTCTGTTCTTTATAATATAAGTATACTGAAGTTATTTACATGTTTGAGTGTTGGTCACATGTTGGACTGTTTATTTTATCATGTTAAAAATAAACTTAATGGCATATAAACTAATGGTCAAAATGATCGTTACAGTGAAACAGTGAAACTTGCAGAGCCCTCTGCAGAACTGAAAAACTTCACATTCAAAATGAAAAATGAGGACTAGACTTGACATTTTGTGATATTGCCTCCCTGAGATCGGACGAGCATATTTAAACAGATACATTCTCCTTGACTTTCCCTTTAGGTGTTAAGATATGACTACCATCTTTCTTTTTTCTCTTATTTTGGTTATACTATTCACTGTATGCTTAAGGTGTATTGTACTATGTGTGTTTTTTATTCATGAGCCACACATCAAAGAGCCGACTACCTTCACCTTGAGATGGCCAATAGTTTTATTATCCAGATGTCAAATATTAGTTGCAACCACTTGGTTGAATCCTAGCCCTGCACTTAAACCTTTTTTTTGTATTCTTTCTTTGGTTGTTAAAGTGGAACTTGTAGTTAAATCTTACATGACTGTTGTTCTTGTCATGCTGCAGTGTGTTACATAACAGTTTTTTTTTTTTTTTTTTTTTTTATCCTTTTGTATTAAATTGAATCTAAATTGAATTATAAAACCCAGCAGCCTGGATCTATGTACAGTGTTTATGTTCAGAGAAGCCACTGCTGGTAGCAGCTGGTGATAATCAGGCTAACTTACATCCTGACCATTTAACTGACCACAACTTAAGATCCAAACAAGAACATTTCAGTTTAGTAGTGATGGGAACTCCAGCTCTTTCAGGTGATCCGGATCATGTGGCTGACCTCAGTATTACGAGGTATCATTTAGGTTTTATTAAATCAGCCAAATTAGCAATGTTTTGACCTATAATTGATATGTGTGCATGTTATCTAACTGATCTTTGGTATAAAACATTAATGTTACACCACAGAGCACTGGGTGTGCCTGTGGTCGAGCCGTGTGGAGAAGAGATCATCCCTTTATTCTGCCATGTATTAATTAACAAAAAATGAAAAGGGAGGAAAACGGCTCTAAAAATAGAAGCTGGCTCCAATGGTTCAAATAAAAGAGGCGGCTTGTTCAAAACGGACAAATCAATAAACATAAACAGTCATTCAGAGTAGGAATTTCACAGTTTTAACCTTAAAACTATCATGAAGTGTAAACACTTGAAACTTTACTTTTCTTCCACAGGAGAAAGTCAAAGACTTCTGATGAAACACCTAAGAATAGATGAGGAAAATACAAAAGCAGAAAGGTAATATCATAACATTGTACCTCAACACACACTGTCCACACACACACACACCACAGTCAAATTAAACAATTTATTCTCATCCACACTTTGCTCTTTTCAGCAACATTGCTTGTCAGTGCCGACTTCAGGAGGATTCAGTGTGGGCTCTGCTTCATTTCCCCTGGTTCTTTAATTTGACCTCCAATAAGGATAAAGCTCTCTTATCCTCATTTACAGGATCATTTACACAAATGATTCTAAATGTTAACTCTCCTTTGTGATTCAAGGATTCAAGTTATACCCAGTTCACCTGAGGTAAATCTTGAATCTATTTTTAGCTCAAGCCTACGCGGGGATACTCACATGTTACATTAGTAATGCATGTGTGATTACATGTAATAATCAAACATTAAACCATAGTAACTTGCTTAGAATAGAGGTATTTTGTTCTCCAAATGTATGTTTTTTTCACTCAGAGTCTTGACTTATCCTGAGATTACTAATTATAAGAGCTGATATAATAATGTATACTAAAAATGTGCACAATATGCATATTTAGGCATGTTTAGAAAGAAAAACATCTGCTGTGTGGACGTTTTATGAGCTCAGCCTGTAGTTCCTACAGTGCTTTAAGAACATGTTTTTTTTTTCCCTGCAATGCTGCAAACCTTACCTGCACCATATACAAACTTAATACAAGCTCCTGAGAGGGTATGTATTATATATTTATGGTTCCACTCTCCTGTTCGTGTGATTGCTTGTATATCTGTCAGTCCCTAGTACCCTCTTGAGCTTTCTTTTACTGTAACGTCAAACATAATATCTCTTAAAATAACAAATGGCGTGCCACAGGGCTCAGTTTTGGGGCCATTGTTATTTACATATTATATAAACAATATTGGTCATAATGTTCCCAATGCAACTTTTCATTTATATTCAGATGATACTGTTATTTTTTGCTCTGCTTCAAAAACATCATCAGGCTCTCTCTCTCAACAGGATGATTTTCATGCTGTGCAGGACACTGTATGTGATTTGAAATTTTGAATCCTGATAAAACAAAGCTCATGAAATGTGCCACTGAACCCTCCTTCTATTGTTTTGGCTCATTGTGATGTGATTGAGTCTGTAGCTTCTTATCAATACCTCAGATTCTTGATCGATGATTCGCTGTCTTTTATGCTTTATTTTCACAGCGCTGCAAAACGGAGATTTGTTGCTG